TGTATGGATAAAAAGATTAAATTCATTGTCTTACTATATTCAATGACTTCTCATGTAAAAAAAAATCATTGACTCCATACATTACCAAAAAACACAACATAAAACCATAGCCAAAACCTGACTTTTCTGTGAGATCTATATAAAGAACATTCTAGTGAAGAATCCATTGGAACTTCGAAGAGACTAACAAAAATGTCAGAATCTCCTGATAAGAAGATGAAACCCACTGAAGATCTGCATGAAGATACGGTTGAGCATATACTATCAACCTTCCTTCCCATTCAGTCCTTTTTACGAAGCCGCATGGTGTCCAAAAGATTCAGGAACACAGAGATTCGATGCAAAGACCTTGATTTCAGCGGATTATATTCAGTGAGGCGAAGACAGTTAAAAGTTGTACAAATCATCGAAAGTGTTTTTAATCAGCACAAAGGATCAGAGATCAACCGATTTGTTCTCATTATCAACCATACTGGCGTGGAGGATAAGATACTTTCGTGGATCAATACGTGTCTAGGTAAAAACATCCAAGAACTTGAGTCAAAATCTAAGAAAGTTATAGAGATACCGGTCAATTTCTCAGCTATCGAGACACTCACCATCTTGAAGTTATGGTGGTGTAAATTCCAAATACCGGATAATTCTCCAAAGGGTCTAAAGCTATTGTAGACACTTTCTTTAATGCGGGCGGAAGTGACAAAAGATATGATAGATGCAATATTCAAAAACTGCATCTACCTTGAGACGCTTGAACTAATCAAATGCGGAATGAACGAGGTATTGAGCATCAATGCTCGGAATCATAAGAAGTTTAAATCGCTGGTCGTGTATTCTATGCCAAAGGTCTGGCACATCGTTTTGGATGCACCAACTCTTGAATGCTACAAATATGATGGACCTGTCAGGTTTGTCGACTTTTCAAGAGTAAATGCACTAAAAGAGGCAAAGCTCCTATATTATAATCGGAGATACAATTGGCGTAATTCTCTAACTTGGCCATTGCTAACATGAGTGACTATACTGGAGTTCATGTCTTCGCAACAACAAACATCTTTCTCGAGG